TCTACAGTTCAGCGCGTGGTTTCACTCTCGCCGTAATCACGCTTTCGATCGTGCGTTCCCGACTCACTAACAACTCCACTGTGCGATTCTGTCCTACCAAGAATTGCATACGACCCCGTTTGACTGTCGATGACACTGTTATCGTGCAAGCCCACCTCTTCTACTGGCAACTCCTCTTTGAGTAGCGGGTCTTCTGGAGCTGCACATGTTATCACCCAGACTTCCCCCCTCCCCCAAGAGTTGTTTGTATCAACAGTTGTGAAGTTCCTTTCTTTGGCCATGTCATCTGCAAGTTCAGGCCAAAGTCAACCCAGACCGTACATTTGTAGCACAGAAATTTTCCTCGAATGTTACTTCTAAGCAAAAAAATTTTTCAAATGCTTTTTTCGACCCGTTTCAAACTCTTTTGAAAGAAATCTGCCGGTGTGATAGCTTTCAGTGACCAAACTTCAGTGTTAAGATCTCTAGGCCTTCAAAAATCTCAAGCAGCTTGGCTTCTGGGCGAGACATGCTGACTGTCTTCCAAATTTCTCTTAGCGTGCTCCCAGTTTGGTTTTTATGCGTTTTTGCTGTGCACCACTATAGCGCTGCTACAGCGAGCAGAGCGCATATTGCAACGGCCCCTGGTGCGTGTGTGTGTGTGTGTGTGTATGTGTGTATGTATGCGCGTGTGTGCGTGAGTCTGTCGGGTATTTCAACTGGGCAACCACGCAGGCCACGGAGCCAAAATTATGCGAGTGGGTTTTCAGCCCAAGTGCCACCCCAGGACTGCAGTACCAACTTTCTTGCAGATCTGGACCCCACGTACGATCACGTGAAAGTTTTGGCGGGAAAATGGCTGATTCAGGAGCCAGAAAAGCTGGGAGGTTGAAATTTTATGGGGGTGTTCCCCGTCCACACAGAGCTCAAAGATTTCAAATTCAGTCCCCAGATATGCATGATCCCCATGTACGATCTAGTGAAAGTTTTTGACGGAAAATGGCTAACTCGAGAGTCAGGAAAGCTGGGACGCTGAACTTTTAAGGGTACGTTCCCTTAAATATGTTCGTCCGTGCACTTAAAACTCAAAACTTTTAAATTCAACCCCCAGGTATGCGTGGTTCCCAATTACAGCCCCGTGAAATTTTTTGGTGAGAAAATTTACTAGCTCGGAAACCAGGATAGCTGGAAAGCTGAAATTTTAACAGAATGTTCCACTTCCAAATGCATTTGATGGTTGTATGTTTAACTTTCTGAGATTCGTGGACCAGTGTGTCATATTCTAGCTATTGTGATTCCAAGCGATCTTACAGCAGCACGAGATACTGCAAAAACGCATGATCACACGGGACAGCCCGATGCGCGTCGCCAATGATTATGCGCGTTTGCCGTTCAGCGTTGGAGCGCTGCAACAGGCAGCAAAATGCAAATTGCGACAACGTTGTGCGTGTGTGTGTGTGTGTGTGTGTGTGTGTGCGTGTATGTGTGCGTATGTGTGTGCGCGTGTGTGTGTGCGCGTGTGCCTTCATCCGGCCGGGTATTTTTACTCGGCAACCACTCAAACTTTGACGCTGAAACTTTGCCGGTGTGTTCTCTGGCCAAACGCGACCCACGAACGTGATATCGACTGTCACACACCTCTGCGTCTCCCGTGCGAGCACGTAAAATTTTTGGCGAGAAAATTGATAACTTGAAAAAGAGAAAAGCTGGAAAGCTGGAATTTTGAAGGAATGCTTCTTACTCA